CAGTGTAGGCCCAAGGCATCTGTGAGAGAACACTACTTCACTTCCTTCATATGCTTCCCTGCTCACCTGTCATACAGCCCTGCCCCGGCGTATCCCTCAAGGTCCTCCCCGTTGGAGTCGGATCGGAAGATGATGGACGAGCGGATGAAGAGGCCCACTCGCTTGGAGGGGAAGCCAAGCATCTGCAGAGAGTGAGGTGGGATTGGGTTGGGATTGGGTTGGGATGGGGGCGAGATAACAAATTTGGAGGGGAAGACAAGCACCTGCAGAGAGAGAGGGATGGGATGGAGGTGGGGTTTGGGGTGGGATGTGGGTGGGATGGGGGTGGGATGTGGGTGGGATGGGGGTTGGGATGTGGGTGGGATGGGGGTTGGGATTGGGTGAGATGTTTTATTTTGCGACGTTTCGAAGCCAGAAGATGATTGACGGGCGGATGAAGAGGGCCACTCGCTTGGAGGGGAAACCAGTGACTTGAGGAGAAGCGAGAGAGGGAAGAGACCGGGATAATGAAGGGCGCGCAGGAGCAAAAGGTCTTCATTCTAGTTATCTTATAAAAACAGCCAGCTGAAACCAGCTTACCAAACTACCTGCAACCAAAGATCATGCACACAATGTCTCTGCACCGAAGATCTGCCTGTGCCGAGCTTCAGACATAATTCTCAGGGAGCAGCAGTAGCGAAGCTAGGCTTAAAGCAAAAGAACAAACAGCTAGTATTGTACTCGCTGTGTAAGACTAAGTAGCTTTTGAGTCGACTCAAAATTTTATCGTTCATGCACACAATGTCTCTGCACCAAAGATCAGCCTGTGCCGAGCAGCGCCACCCAGAAGCGTCTCCCCCCAGCCCCTCTACCCACGCACTTCCCCCCCCCCCTCTCCCACACCACCGCCATCACTCCTGCCGGTCTCGCCACCCGCCTTGGGTCAGTCGATGTGGCCTTTATCAGCTCTGAAGCTCAGCGCACGCCCAGCAAGACCGTTGTCCGTCCCGTTCCTTCACCACCGCTCCATCCACCTCTGATTCCCCGCTTTCCCTGTTTACCCCCTCAAACAGCGCCCTGCACCATCTCCACTCACCTTGGGTCGGTCGGTGTGCCCCTTATCAGCACTGAAGCTCAGTGCGCGCCCAGCAAAGACAGCCCTGAAGCTCCAAAGCTCAGACCCCACTGCACCACTCCTCACCTTGGGCCGGTCGGTGTGGCCCTTATCAGCACTGAAGCTCAGCGCGCGCCCAGCAAAGGCACCCACGAGCGTCTCCCCCAGGCCCTTCACCACCTCTGCGTAGATCTGGTTCTTATCGCCCGTGGAGGGATTCTCAGTGTGCACCACAAAGGCATAGTCCGCCCGCACAATCTCCTGTTGGTGGAGACAAGGGGGAGGAGACAAGCGGGAGAAAATCATTGGAAGGAGACAAAACGAGCGTCTCTCCCAGCCCCTTGACCACCTCTGCGTAGATCTGGCTCTTGGAGGGATTTTCTATGTGCACCACAAAGGCGTAATCAGCCCGCACGATCTCCTGTGGGAGGGAGGGAGACAAACGATTAACACAAAGTGAGGCATAGAGAGAGGCTGGTGATGAGCCCCTTCACCACCTCCGCATAGATCTGGTTCTTATCGCCCGTGGAGGGGTTTTCCGTGTGCACCACGAAGGCATAGTCCGCCCAGCCGGACTTTCTCCTGTTGGTGGAAGACACGGGGGGAGGCGATTAGGGGGAACGGCGATCAGAAAAAAGAGGCTAACACTAAGTCTCCCACAGCCCTTTCACCACCTCTGCATAGATCGTGCTGTGTATCACAAACGCATAGTCCGCCCTCACTATCTCCTGTTGGTGGGAAAAGGGATGGGGAGGAGGTCAGGAGGGAGGAGGTAAAAGGGGTGGAGGTGAGGGGAGAGGAGAAGAGGAAAACGGGAGGAAGTGAGGGGGGAGGAGTTGATGGAAGGGGGGGTTGAGGAGGGAGAAGACAAAGGGGGAAGGTGGTGAAGGGGGAGGAGGCAAGGGGGGAGGAGGTAAGGGGGGAGGAGGTAAGGGGGGAGTAGGCAAGGGGGGAGGAGCTAAGTGGATAGGTTAACATCACCCCCCCCCACTCACCTGCACGAGCACTGCCATGGAGAGCGAGTTGAAGTCGAGCCGTGCCTTGCGCATGCTCACATACGCCCGCTCGTTCCACTTGGACGCCCACACCCGAGTGATCGCCCCCCACGCCTTCTCCCACCGCCCCTCGCCCTCATCCCCCGGCCATGGCATGTTGGACCTCTTCATCGCCTCCTTGAGATCAGATACCTGGGGAACGCTCGAGGGAGAGACGAGAGTCATTGGGCGAGAACGACAACGGGCGTGGGCACATGGAATGCGATAGTGCACCGCAAACCCATGCATACACCTTCACACCCCCTCTACCTAAACAGCTGCGGCGGCCACAAACCATCCCGTATCCCATCCAATCTCACCCCAACCCATCCCATGTCCCATCGCATCCCATCCCATTCCATTCCATCCCATCCCATCCCATCCCATCCCATCCCATCCCATCCCATCCCATCCCATCCCACCCCACCCCACCCCATCCCATCCCATCCCATCCCACCCCATCCCATCCCATCCCATCCCATCCCATCCCATCCCATCCCATCCCATCCCATCCCATCCCATCCACATCCCATCCCATCCCATCCCATCCCACTCCACCCCATCCCATCCCAACCCATCCCATCCCATCCCACCCCATCCCACCCCATCCCACCCCACCCCACCCCACCCCACCCCATCCCACCCCATCACATCACATCCCATCCCATCACATCACGCTCCTGCTCCTGCTCCTGCTCTCTCACCAGCTGAGGCGGTGCCTTTAGTCCCAGCAAGGCGCGGCGGATATTGGGCAGCATGCCATCCACCCACCATGCATTGGCCCCAACCCTCCCACCCCCACATGCTCCGTTCTCCCCTTCCCATAATTACCAGCTGTGGCGGTGCCTTGAGTCCCAGCACGGCGCGGCGGATGTTGGGCAACATGCTCACATCGCCCTTCTCCAGGTCTGTGCTCAGAGCCTTGATTTCCGCTGCTACGCTCTGAAAGTTGGGAAGCCGTGGGGTGGAGTGGGGTACGGTGGGGTGCGGTGGGAAGGTCAAACAGGGGTTGGGATGGAGTGACGATGATGGGCAGCAAGCTCACGTCGCCCCTCTCCAGGTCCGCACTCAGAGCCTTGATCTCCGCAGCGACACTCTGGAATGTGGGATGCGGTTGGGCAGGGTGGAGTGGGGTGAAGTGACGTGCGGTAGGATGAGGTGGGGTGGAGTGACGTGAGGTTGGCCATTGTGGTGCAGGGTGAGGTGAGGTGCGAGGCAGAATTTGCAAGAGCAGGTTCGCACTCTGAGCCATGTTCTAAAAGGTGGAGTGTAGTGAGGTGCGGTGGGGTGAGATGCGGTGGGACGTTTACTCTGTGCTTGGGGGATGTAGAGGGCGGTAACAGCTTTTGAGCCGAAGGGCAGATCCACAGACGTGGGCAGGTGGATCCGTGAAGGCAGGAGGACCCACCTCACACGGACATTTACAGATTTGAATTTACAGTGCACATCACTGCAGCACATGCCTGGTTGATTGGGTCAGCGAGAGCGCTCTCGAATGAGCCAAAGGGCAGAGCCACAGACGTGGGCAGGTGGATCCACGAGGGCAGCTTGCCCTGCAGCCCGGCTATGTTGCGCGACTTGGCCCCCACCTGGCGGGGGGGGAGGGAAGGTGGGAAGGAGGGCAGAGGCTCTTGTGCACAGGAAGGGCAAAGAGTGGGCGGGAGGGCGGTGGCTCCACGAGGGCAGCTTGCCCTGCAGCCCCGCTATGTTGCGCGGCTTGGCTCCCACCTGGTGGGGGGGAGGGGAAGAGAGGAGAACCGGGGGATAAAGAGGCGGGGCAGCAGGTGAGGAAGCAAAGAGGGCAGATTGCGCGACTTGGACCCACCTGGTGGGGGGGAGGGGGAATAAGGAGGGCAGGAGGGAAGGACAATGGTGAGGCAGGGCAGCAGGTGAGGAAGCAAAGAGGGTAGCTTGCCGTGCAGCCCCCCTATGTTGCGCGACTTGGCCCCCACCTGAGAAGGAAAAGGAGGAGGGGATCAGTAGGGGAAGGAAGGAGGGGGAATGAGAAAGTGGAGAGGTGTCTTAAAGGCTCGCAGCCAGCCTGCTATGTTGTGGCCCTGCCAGGCCAGCGATTCACAGGTGCGAGCAGTTCGGTGCAGTGCGGTGCATAAACGGAGCATACTACTGCAGTGCGGTGCGTACCAGTTCAGGGGTGAACTCGTTCGAGGTGACGGCGTATCGCCCGGCGAACTGCTTCCTCTTGATGTGCAGCCCAGGAGGTGGCCCTGCCCTGGTGCCTAGTGCTGTGCAATTCGGTGCAGTGCGGTGCTGTGCGGTGCGTACCAGTTCAGGTGTGAATTCATTCGAGGTGACGGCATACCGCCCTGCAAACTGCTTCCTCTTGATATGCAGCCCGGGAGGCGGCCCTGCCAGGTCAGCTGCTGCTCCATCTCCCCCTGACACCAGCTTTGGGTCGATTTCACTGCAGGGAGAAGACAGGCAGAAGCGGTGTGGAATCAGGTCAGGCAAGGAGGAGGACAGGTCAGGAGGGGTGAGACAGTGCGGCCATTCAGTCCACTGCTGCCCCGTCTCCCCCTGCCACCAGCTTTCACAGCAGCGGGTTGAAAGGAGGTCAGGAGGGGTGGAGGCGGGTAAGGAGTGGTGGAGGCAGGTCAGGAAAGGCAGAGGGGTATGGGAGGGCAGTAAGCCGCCTGCTGTTCCTGTCCCTGCTCTCCAACCAGCTGTCAGGAGACTCGAGGAGTTTCATCCGTGCGGAGTGCATGTGTGCATGTATCAGTGTGAAAGGCTCTTGAGCTCCAATGTCCGTCCATGCAGGTGTTTGTTCAGGTGCTTGTATAGGAGGGAGTGTGCACATGCGGATACATCCAACCACTTTCACCTGCCCACACCCACCTGGCAACCTGACAACGCACCTGACAATGACTTCGGATCCAGAGGTGTTGGGAGCACAGCGGGCGCTCTTCCCCTGCAGCGCTCTGATGGAGTCCAGCAGGTTGGGGTCGAAGCAGGTCGCAAAGCACACCTGGGATGGGAAGGAGAGAGGGCGGGGAGGGGGGGAGAGGGGGGGTAGCAGCATATCGAATAAAGGGCATGTTGCACTGGGCAGGGCGGGATGAGGGTGCAGCACAGTGGGGCTCTTCCCCTGCAGCGCTCTGATCGAGTCCCGCAGGTTGGGGTCGAAGCAGGTCGCAAAGCACACCTGGGGGGGAGGATGGGGAGTCGGAGGAAGAAGGAATAAGGGGAGTAAGGAGATGTGGGAGAGCAAATCAGGCATGTCAAGTGTCAACAGAGCCACCACCCCTGCAGGAATCTCCTCCTCTCCCTTCACCCTCCGTGCCACCAGCACTGTCGGCTGCAGCCAGAACAGTTAGAGAACCCCAGGGAACCGCACAGCACCACACAGCACAGGACATCACCACAGATCTTCACAACTTACCTTGCAATTTCTTGCTCCCACAGACGCGTGGGAGAGCACATCAGGCATGTCAGGGGTCAGCAGCGCCACCACTCCAGCCGGAAAACCAACAGTGATAGAGAACACCAGAGAACTCCAAAGAATCGCACATCACCGCATCGCACACCTTGCAGTTCCGGGCTCGCACGGACACATGGGAGAGCACGTTGTGCATGTTGGGTGTCAGCAGCGCCACAACCCCTGCAGGGATCTCCTCCTCTCCCTTCACACCCCGTGCCACCATCACTGTCAGCACCAGCCAGTAGAGGTAATGAACCCCAGGGAACCGCACAGCACCGCACATCACCACACAGAATTGTTACGCACCTTGCAGTTACGTGCTCGCACGGACACGTGGGAGAGCACGTCGGGCATGTCAGGGGTGAGCAGCGCCACAACCCCTGCAGGAATCTCCTCCTCTCCCTTCACCCTCCGCGCCACCATCACTGTCGGCCGATCGTACGTTTTCTCCTGCACCTCTGCTAGCTCATCAACCACCTCCACCCACCCACGCACATCCGCAGGGCTGATCACTTGCCAGCTGCATAGAGAATGGGTATGCAGGGAGGGAGGGAGGGAGGGCCAGTTTTAGCTGTACGTCTTCTCCTGCACCTCTGCTAGCTCATCCACCACCTCCACCCACCCACGCACATCCGCAGGGCTGATCACTTGCCAGCTGGTAAAGGGAATGAGGGACAAGACGGGGGGGGAGAGGAGGGGGGGAGGATTTTATACATACATGAGTAGAGGCCATCGGCCTTGCCTGTACATCTGCTATTTCGTCCACCACCTGCTAGCTCCCTCCCCCTCAATTGCCCAGGTCAGCAGCCTGTCGGATCTGCGGGTTGAGCCGGTTCAACAGCTGGGACAGAGCCCGCAGCCGACTCAGCGCGAATGACCTCCTCTGTGAAGATGTCAATCGCCCACTGCTCCACATGCACCTTGCCTCCCAGATGCACCACTGCAGGTAGAAACAAAGCCAGCTGCCGTCCCTCCTTCTCGCCATCCCCACTCCATCTCACACACACAGACACAGCCGCACTGTCTTTCTCACCTGCCCAGGTCAGCAGCCTGTCGAATCTGCGGGTCCAGCCGGTTGAGCAGCTGCGAGAGCGCAGCAGCAGAGCCAGCGCGAATGACCTCCTCTGTGAAGATGTCAATCGCCCACTGCTCCACATGCACCCTCGAACCCAGATGCACCGCGGCCGGCTGAAATAGCGCCAGCTGCTGCTCCGCCTTGCCCTGCAAGATGAGCCGCGTGCGGTCGAGCACTGCCTTGGCCCGCAGCGCCCACTGGCTGTCGTGATTCATTAAATCCAGCACGCGCCGCCACTCCTGGTTGGTGGTGGAGGGGTGGAGGGGAAGGGCAGGAGGGGTAGGGAACGGGTGAGAGAGATCAGGGCACACAGATGCATCGCGGCCGGCGGGAACAAGGCCAGCTGCTGCTCCGCCTTGCCCTGCAGGATGAGCCACGTGCGGTCCAGCACCGCCTTGGGTCTCAGCCCCCACTGGGCGTCCTGGTTCATTGAATCCAGCACGCGCTGCCACTCCTGGGGAATGAAAGCGAGAGGGGGGCGGGTGGGAAGAAATGGGGTGGAGGGATAGGGCAGGAGGGGTGGAGTGGGTGAGTGAGAGCACAGCACACAGATACATGGTGGCTGGCTGGAACAGTGCCAGCTGCTGCTCCGCTTTGCCCTGCAGGATCAGCCGCGTGCGGTGTAGCAGTGCCTTGGCCCTCAGCGCCCATTGGCAGTCGTGATTCATTGAATCCAACACGCGCCGCCACTCCTGGTTGGTGGTGGGGAGGAGGGAAACAACGGAAGGGGTAGACAAATAATACTTTCACCCAGCAGCACGGTTCACTGACACAAATAACGTTCGTTGCTTCTGCTGTGTGTCGTTTGTTACAAAGACCCACAGCAGAAATCAAATCGCTCAGACACCCATGACTGAGAACGCGCTGCATATCGTCAATAATAAGAAGACACTCTTCATTAATTTTATCCTCGCTATAAGGAAACAATTCCCCACCTTGAGGCAGAATACAAGCTCTTCGTTGTCGTCCACGGACAGGCAGAGATTCTCCACCAGCAGCGTCACCAGATACATGATACCACAGGCCAAGACTCATACTCATTTATCCTCGTTATAAGGAGAGGAGGTCCCACCTTGAGGCAGAAGACTAGCTCCTCGTTGTCGTCAATGGACAGGCAGAGATTCTCCACCAGCAGCGTCACCAGATACATGATTTCCTGGGTGTATGAGATGGTGGTGTGGGTATGGTTGGGTGTGTGGGTGGGTAGATTGAGAAAGTGACACAGTTGAGTAAAGGTGACTACATGAATGGGGGAATAGATACATGTATGGGGGAATAGATACATGTATGGGGGAATAGATACATGTATGGGTGGGTGGGTGGGTGGGTGGGTGGGTGGATGTGGCAGGGGATGGCGGACAGAAGAGAGGGGCACATGGGTATGACAGGCAGAGGTTCTCCACCAGCAGCGTCAGCAGGTACATGATCTCCTCTGGTGATGAGATGGGTGGGTAGAGAGATGGACAAATGGGTGGATGGGTGAGGGACAAGACGACTACCAGGTCAACTCAGAGGTTCCTCACCACCAGCGATACCCGAATCCCACCGCATACTACTGCATTCCACAGCTGCACGTACCCCGGCGTTCCTAGCGTCGCCCATGCCCCTCTCAATGGCAGTGCGAGCAGTGGAGTCCAGAGCCAGGTCGAGGAACACCAAGTCCTTGAGGCGCTCCCACACCCACACACTCCCAGCACATTCCACCACACTCCACCGCACTCCACCGCATTTCACCCCATGCCACCCCAGTTCACCCCACCCCATCGCACTGTACCCACCACTCTGCATGCACTCACCCCGGCATTCCTGGCATCCCCCATGCCCCTCTCGATGGCGGTGCGGGCAGTGGAGTCCAGCGCGAGGTCGAGGAACACGAGGTCCTTGAGGCGCTCCTGCCCGTGCCTCAGCAGGGTCGGCCGCAGCTCTCTTCGGGCTTCCACCAGACCCTGTGGTTTTGTTGAAGGGGTGGGGTTGAAAGAGGAGGAAGGGGGAATTCGGTTTAGCAGCCTGAGTGCAGTCAAGTCCAGCGCCAGGTCGAGGAACACGAGGTCCTTGAGGCGCTCCTGCCCGTGCCTTAACACGTCGGTCGCAGTTCCCTTCGTGCCTCCACCAGACCCTGATTCAAGGGAAAAGGGATGGGGATGGGGAGGGGGAGGGGGAGGGGGAGGGGGAGGGGGAAGGAGAGGGGGAGGAGGAGGGGGAGGGGGAGGGGGAGGGGGAGGGGGAAGGAGAGGGGGAGGAGGAGGGGGAAGGGGAGGGGGAGGGGGAGGGGATGGGGAGGAGGAGGGGGAGGGGGAGGGGGAGGGGGAGGGGGAGGGGAGGGGGAGGGGGAGGGGGAGGGGGAGGGGGAGGGGGAGGGAGAGGAGGAGGGGGAGGGGGAGGGGGAGGGGGAGGGGAGGGGGAGGGGGAGCGGGAGGGGGAGGGGTAGGAGGGAAGGGAGAAGTGGATTGCAGGGAGAAGCTGATGACACTTACTGACCACCTGCTGCTGATCCTCTACATTCTCCAACACAAACCACAGCAGGTTCTGCCGCATTTAATTGCGTTGACTCCATTTGACCCCTGTGGACTCTGTCCTGCATTGACTCTGTCTGACCCCCGTTGACTCTGTTTGACCTGCGTTGACTCACCTCCACCAGGCTGACCACCTGCCGGTCCTCCACATGCTCCAACACAAATTGAAGCAGATTCTGCAGTCAGGAAGAGAGGGGGGTGCGGAAGAGGAAGATGTGGGGTGAGAGGGGTAGAAAAGGCGAGCAAGGGGGGAGACAAGGGGGATTGCAGGCACCGCAAAGAACTCCACTCTAGGCAGAAGATTGTCTGCAGACTGTTCACCCTTCAGTGAAGCACAAATCTCCAGGTGTGGCCCATGTTTGCAGGCTGATACGGACATTTAGGTAGGCAGAACTATACAAACTCTGAAACACCGGGCTGAGCTCAAAGTAAAAATGGGAAGCAACAAATAACACACAACAATCTGAGCGCCTGTTATATGTCTGAGCTCACCGGAAGGTTCCCAGAAAGTCCGCTGATGGGATGGATCTCAATGTTCTTCATGAAATCAGCCTGCTCACACATACATGCATGCACACACATGCATGCATGCATGTACATGCACACACACACATGCATGCATGCACACGCACACACACATATGCATGCATGCACACGCACACACACACATGCATGCATGCACATGCGTGCACACACACATGCATGCACACGCGTGCACACACACATGCATGCATGCACAAGCGTGCACACACACATGCAATGCATGCACACGCGTGCACACGCACACGCACATGAAGGAAACACACATGGTTAATCACAAAGGATTTCCTTGAGATTAGTAATGCATAGAGTATAGCATGCATAGTGCAGCAGCTAAGTATCAGCATAAGAGCTCATTCAGACATATTTATGACTTCTCAAGTCCAATTAAACATCAGACATGTGGCCCACACATGAAATTACGCTGCTTCACTGCAAATGGGAACCAGATCTTACCTTAGCGCCCTGCTTGTACCCCATGCACGTGGCAATGGCAGACTCCAGATCAGCTCCCGAATGGACGGCCTGGATCGGTTCACAGAGGGACAGACAAGCGGAGAGCGGGCAGATGCTGAGAGACGGACCACACAGCACGATCAAGGACTTTTGAGGCGCCTCAAAAGGCGATCAAGGTATCTAAGCGTGTACCAGATTGGTGGCATGTGCCACGCGTGCCGCTTTGTACCTTGGGCCGTGTTGTGTTTCATTGTTAATGAGTCTGCTTTTGAGTCGACTCAAAATCACACGTGCTACTTTGTACCTTGAGCCGTGTTGTGTTTCATTGTTAATGAACTTGCAACATTCGCACCTTGAGCGATTTCATGTAGTGCCCCGGGTCCCTCGGCAGCCCCTCATTCTGTCTCGTGACAAATGGTTCCTTACCTTCATTCAGCCTGGTAAGTGTGACGTACCCTGAGCCATTTCGCACGTGCCAGACATATTTACTACTCACTTTTAGAGATTTCATGTAGTGCGCCAGGTCCCGCAGCAGCCCCTCCTTCTGGCTTTGACAGGCCTATCCCTAACTTTAGTGCGCACCTTGAGCCTTGATGTATCATTCATACCTTGAGAGATTTCAAGTAGTGCGCCAGGTCCCGCAGAAGCCCCTCCTTCTGGCTGGCCACAAAGCGCGGCTCAGAGCAGATGGGGCGGTCGTAGGACAGCAGGCGCTCGTGCGTCACCCCGTTGCTGTTGAGCGTCCGCCAGTACACGTCGATGTTGAAGTCGCTGTTGAGATAGTCGATTAGAGCCTGGAGGAGGGTGGTGTGTGGAGAGAGTATGTGTATGTGTATGTAAGGGAGTAAAGGCTGTTGAGCGTCCGCCAGTACGCATCAATGTTGAAGTCGCTGTTGAGATAGTCGATTAGAGCCTGTAAATGAAGAGGAGAGGGGGTTGGGATGGGATCGTATGTGCATGTATGTGTGTGTACGGGGGTAAAGGCTCGTTGAGCATCCGGCAGTACACATCAATGTTTAATCGCTGTTCAGATAGTCTATCAGGGCCTGATGGGAGGAGGGTTGATTGGGAGAGGAAGAGTGGAAAGGAAGGAGAGGGAGGAAGAGGAGTTGGGAGGGGAGGAAGGAAGATGGAGAGTGGCAGGATGTGATGCCACTCCTCCATCTTACCTCCCTCGCAGTGATTCTTGCTCTGAATCACAAGGATCTCGTCCCAACCCCTCAGGGTTCAAAGCCTCAGGGTTCAAAGCCTCAGGGTTCTAGCTGGTAACCTGGGTCCCGGCAGTCTACACTGCAGGGTGAACCCTGCAGGGTGCTGTTGTTGCTGGCAACCTGGGTGCAGGCAGTCTACACTGCAGGGTGCTATTGGCTTTAACCTCCTACCTGGCAGATAACCACGTCGTCAGGGCTCGTGTTGTTGTGAAGCTTCTGATGCCACTCCTCCATCATGCCGCCCTTGCAGCGGTTCTTGCTCTGAATCACCCAGAACTTGCTACCCCAGGCATTACACGGAGCTGGGCTCAGATGCTGACCTGGCAGATGACCACGTCATCAGGGCTTGTGTTGTTGTGCAGCTTCTGATGCCACTCCTCCATCATGCCGCCCTTGCAGCGGTTCTTGCTCTGAATCACCCAGAACTTGCTACCCCAGGCATTACACGGAGCTGGGCTCAGATGCTGACCTGGCAGATGACCACGTCATCAGGGCTTGTGTTGTTGTGAAGCTTCTGATGCCACTCCTCCATCATGCCGCCCTTGCAGCCGTTCTTGCTCTGAATCACCCAGAACTTGCTACCCCAGGCATTACACGGAGCTGGGCTCAGATGCTGACCTGGCAGATGACCACGTCATCAGGGCTTGTGTTGTTGTGAAGCTTCTGATGCCACTCCTCCATCATGCCGCCCTTGCAGTGGTTCTTGCTCTGAATCACCAGAATCTCGTCTCTGATCCGCTGCCCCACGTCCCCCTGCCCGCCACGCCCCACGGTCATCATGATCATGCGCGTCAGCTCACGAAGCGACGGTGAGGATCGAAAGATCTCCTCCAGCACTGTTGTGAAGCGATCCTGAGCCACGCTGATTTCACTGGAGGGTGGAACCGGAAGGCAGGAGTGGAAGTGGGGAAGGGGGGAGGAGGTTGACAGGGGAATGAGGGACAGGGGAGGGGATTGAGAAGAGAAGGGGGGAATCTCGCCTCTGATTCGTTGCCCCATGTCGCCCTGCCCCCCGCACCCCACGGTCATCATGATCATGCGCGTCAGATCGTGAAGCGACGGTGAGGATCGAAAGATCTCTTCCAGCACTGTTGTGAACCAATCCTGAGCCACACTGATCTCCCTGTGAGGGGGATTGACAGGGGGGAATGGGATTGGGAATGGCAAGAAAAAGGACGGTGAGGATTGAAAGATCTCCAGCACTGTTGTGAAGCGATCCTGAGCCACACTGATTTCACTGGAGGGTGGGAGAGGAAAGGCGAGTGGGTGGGGGGGACGTGGGGGGTGAGTGGCCTGGCCAGGAGGGACAGGGAAGGGTGGGGGGGTGTGGGGAGGGGGGGAGGGGGGGGTGGACAAAAAGTACTGCTGAGCCACGCTGATCTCCCTGTGGGTGGAAGGGGACAAGGGGGCGGAAGGGGAGGTTGGAAGTTGGGATTATGTGCGTCAGTTCGCGCATGCATACACTCACATACACTCCACTCACACTCACATGCATACTCACATACACTCCACTCACACTCACATGCATACTCACATACACTCCACTCACACTCACATGCATACTCACATACACTCCACTCCCACTCACATGCATACTCACATACACTCCACTCACACTCACATGCATACTCACATACACTCCACTCCCACTCACATGCATACTCACATACACTCCACTCCCACTCACATGCATACTCACATACACTCCACTCCCACTCACATGCATACTCACATACACTCCACTCCCACTCACATGCATACTCACATACACTCCACTCCCACTCACATACATACTCACATACACTCCACTCCCTGTCACATGCATACTCACATACACTCCACTCACACTCACATGCATACTCACATACACTCCACTCACACTCACATGCATACTCACATACACTCCACTCACACTCACATGCATACTCACATACACTCCACTCCCACTCACATGCATACTCACATACACTCCACTCCCACTCACATGCATACTCACATACACTCCACTCCCACTCACATGCATACTCACATACACTCCACTCCCACTCACATGCATACTCACATACACTCCACTCCCACTCACATGCATACTCACATACACTCCACTCCCACTCACATACATACTCACATACACTCCACTCCCTGTCACATGCATACTCACATACACTCCACTCCCTCTCACATGCATACTCACATACACTCCACTCCCACTCACATGCATACTCACATACACTCCACTCCCACTCACATGCATACTCACATACACTCCACTCCCACTCAAATGCATACTCACATACACTCCACTCCCTCTCACATGCATACTCACATACACTCCACTCCCACTCACATGCATACACACACTCTCCCACTCACCGCGGCTTGACGTTGTAGTTCTTATTCCACACCAGCTGCCGCGATGCCATGAAGCGAAACCACACAAACACAGCAGCCAGCCCCAGCTCGCCCTGCGACTTGGCCTTGTCCAGCACCTGCGTGCCCAGATTAAACCTGCATGCAATAGAGGGGGGAAAGGGGGGGATGGGGGTTTGGGGGATGGGTGGGTTCATATGGGTTGGTGTGACACAGACACGGCTGCTCGCCCTGCCCCTTGGCCTTGTCCAGCACCTGCGTGCCCAGATTGAACCTGCATGCAATAGAGGGGGAGGAGGGGGGGATGGGGGTTTGGGGGATGGGTGGGTTCATATGGGTTGGTGTGACACAGACACGGCTGCTCGCCCTGCCCCTTGGCCTTGTCCAGCACCTGCGTGCCCAGATTGAACCTGCATGCAATAGAGGGGGAGGAGGGGGGGATGGGGGTTTGGGGGATGGGTGGGTTCATATGGGTTGGTGTGACACAGACACGGCTGCTCGCCCTGCCCCTTGGCCTTGTCCAGCACCTGCGTGCCCAGATTGAACCTGCATGCAATAGAGGGGGAGGAGGGGGGGATGGGGGTTTGGGGGATGGGTGGGTTCATATGGGTTGGTGTGACACAGACACGGCTGCTCGCCCTGCCCCTTGGCCTTGTCCAGCACCTGCGTGCCCAGATTGAACCTGCATGCAATAGAGGGGGAGGAGGGGGGGATGGGGGTTTGGGGGATGGGTGGGTTCATATGGGTTGGTTTGACACAGACACGGCTGCCAGCCCGAGCTCTCCCTGCGACTTGGCCTTGTCCGACACCTGCGTGCCCAGGTTGAACCTGAAGGAGAGGAGAGGAAGGGGGGGAGGGGAGGAAGGGAGGGGAATTAAGGTTTATGGTTCAGAATAAAGGCTAAACTGAAACTTCGTGGTTCAGAGTCTAAGGGCGCGTGAGGTCTTTGAAATTTGTAAAAGTTTATGTTTTTAGGGCGAATTTTAGTTTCGAACTTACAGCGAAAGAAGTTCGAATTTCCTTCTATCGAAGTTCGAACATCGGGCTTACCACACTGTAAAAAATCACACACACATACAAGGTCGAACCCCGACATTCGAACTTGTAAAAACGAGCCGAGCCGCACGTCAACATCATAGGTTACCCGGTTCGCTCGTCTTGACGGTGCGCCACGTCAACATTTTGCACCTCGGTTTACAAGGACCTAGAGCTCCAACTCACCTTCCGCGCCGAGTGTGTAACCAGGGTACAAATAGCCCCCATGGCAACACCTTGTATGCTGGACACGTGGCTACAACTGTGTGCACGAATTGTGGGGTGTCTTCGTTGTGCAACTTCATGCACTGGCGAAGCGCTCGCCCGTTTCGCCAGCTGTTCGGACGTGCTGCAAATCACACACGCTCGCATGAACGTGCGCACGCACGTTCGCGCCTCCGACTCGAGTCAAGTTCATATTTCAAACTCGAACTTTTGCAGAGCCCATACAATGCTTGGTTCGCGAAGCACCCTTCGTGAAATTAGCGAATAGGGTAACCACCCAAAGTTCGAACTTTATTTTGAACTTCTAAACAGACCACACGCGCCCTAAGCTCAGCAACGTGATGCAAGGTATAATGTAAGATATTTAGGGTCACCTTTGAGAAATTTCAGAGGCAGATTGCTGAGGCTCACCTGTGCATGAGCGACTTCTCTGCCTCGGGCTCCAGGTCTGCAATCTCGTCCAACACTGCCCTTGCCACCCCGCGACCATCTCCAATGTCCTGATGCCACGTGTCACCCATCCAGTGGTGCCACGTGTCGCCCATCCATTTGATGCCACGTGGACGGAAGTTGCCAAGGGGATATCAGCAGAGAGGAAAAGAGGCGGAGGAGGAGGAGGAGGAGGAGGAGGAGGAGGAGGAGGAGGAGGAGGAGGAGGAGGAGGAGGAGGAGGAGGAAGAGGAGGAGGAGGAGAGGAGAGAGAGAAAAAAAAAAGATTGCTGCATGAGCAGGAGACAAGAGTGCCTACCTATGCATGAGTGACTTCATGGCTCGTCCCTCCTGAACAGCTATCCAGTTCAGCAGCTCAACAGCCTCCTTGGGCATCCCCACTCCCTCCTTCATCCGCAACGTAACGCCTCTCTCAGTGTCAGCGTTTGGGCCGCTACCCTTCTGCCAACCAACCAACCAGGGCCCCCAAACAAACCCCGACAAACGCCCACGCTAAGTCGATTCTGCCGGCCTGCTCTCCCTCCAACCCTAGCATAAATTCACCAGCTATCTCTGACACACGCTAGAGGTTCAATGTGGTGGTTGAGGAAGAGAAAAAATTCCCGGCCATAGACCTTGAACCAGCACTCCCCCGCCTAACCTTATAGCCTGTATCCTGCACCCTGCGCCTTGTCCCGTGTCTTTTGTCATGCTTTTGAGTCGACTCAAAAGCCTGTATCCTGCACCCTGCGCATTGTCCTGTGTCCCGTGTCGCCCTGTCCCGTCACCCCTGTACCAACCCCCTCACCTTGGGCTGCTGGTAATCAATGCGGTTGAGCGAGAGGAAGAAGTCCCAGCCATAGACCTTGAACCAGCACTCCCCCGCCCAACCCCTCAAGTCTGTCTGTTGTACCCTGTTCCCTATCCCTAATGCTTGGCTCCTTCTTACCTTGGGCTGCTGGTAGTCAATCCTATTGAGCGAGAGGAAGAAGTCCCGTTCTTAGTCCTTGAACCAGCACTCCCTCGCCCAGCCCCTCAAGTCTGTCCGCTGTACCCTGTACCCATCCTACTGCTTGGCTCCTCACCTTGGGCTGCTGGTAATCAATGCGGTTGAGAGAAAGGAAGAAGTCGCGGCCATAGTCCTTGAACCAGCACTCTCCCATCCAGCCCTCAGCCCAGGACCATCTACCTGTAGCCCTAACACTCTATCCCCTCTCTCTCACCTTTGGTTGCTGGTAGTCAATGCGGTTGAGTGAGAGGAAGAAGTCCCGTCCATAGTCCTTGAACCAGCACTCCCCTGCTCTACCCTCAACCCTGTAGCCTGCACCTTGCGCCTTCTTCCCTGTCCCTTGTCGACCTGTCCCCTTTCTCTCACCTTGGGCTGCTGGTAGTCAATGCGGTTGAGAGAAAGGAAGAAGTCGCGCCCATAGTCTTTGAACCAGCACTCCCCGGCCCGCACCACAAAGGGCATCCCTGGCAGCTCCTGCTCCACTCCCGCCAGGTCCAGCTGGAGAGACTGTTGATGGGTGGGGGTTGGGAGCGTGATATACATGATGAAGGAATGAGTGAGGATGGAGCGGGGAGGCATGCAAAGGGCAAAGGGCATCCCTGGCAGCTCCTGCTCCACTCCCGCCAGGTCTAGCTGCAGGGACTGTTGGAGTGCACGTGGGAACGGGGGTTTGAGGAGGGAACAAGAGGAGGCAGTGAATGAACACCACAAAGGGCATCCCTGGCAGCTCCTGCTCCACGCCCGCCAGGTCCAGCTGCAGGGACTGTTGGTGGGTGGCAGTGTGAGATGTGAGACCAGCACCAACGGCATCCCTGGCAGCTCTTGCTCCACGCCCGCCAGGTCCAGCTGCAGGGACTGCAAGAGGTCACACCTTAGCCAACCCAAACCGATGCGTACCCTCGCAACTACAGCTATGTCTCGAATGGGTTCCTCAATGCCTTAATGCACTACCCCTTCAACCTGTGACCCGTGCACTACCCCTGGGGGTTAGGCACGCCCCCGTACCTGCAGCGACGGCTCCCCTGCAAAGCCCTTGTTGAACTCCGTCTCACACGCCCTCTCAAAGCGGGTAGATGAGCCGGCAATGCCGGGCGGCGGGGTCTGCACGGGCACAACAGGGGAAGGAGATAAGAAGGGGGGGAGGCAAGAATGCAAGAACATAACGAGATGTGAAGTCGAGACTGCAAAAGCACTTGAGACTCTAAGCCCTGGGTCACACTATCCCTCAACTCTCAGGTTCCGCTGCGTCCTGTAAACACTAAACCCTGAACCCTGAGCCCCTTCCTGCAAGCTCCTGCCACGCCCCTTGACGGCCCCCAATGCGGCACTAGGGGGTCCGGTGTGCAGCACTGACTTGTTGAAGCCAACCCAAGGCCCGCACATGAAACCTTAACCCCTCATCACTTCAACTCCTAAACCCCTGCGATACCCCTCCCCTCACCTGCTAGCTCCTTCCGCGCCCCTTGGACAGCTCCAAGTGCAGCACTACAGGTTCCAGTGCGTGAAATTTTCTCTCCAGAGCCAAGCCCTCAACCTTACGCCCTGACCTGCGTGAATAATTCCTTAAACCCTGATCCATGCGTCACGCTGTGATTTCCTCACCTGCCAGCTCCTGCTGCGTCCCTTGGACAGCCCCCAGTGCAGCACGAGGGGCTCTGGGTAATCCGACGCCAGCCGCACCTTGAGCTCGCCGTCACACTCCATCAGCAGCACCTGGTGGGGGGAGGGAGGGGATGAGAAGGGGGAGGGCGAAGTGAGAGGTTGTGAGGGGTGGCGTATGGGAGGTCGCACCGACGCCAGCCAGTTAGTTCAACGCCAGCCGCACTTGAGCTCGCCGTCACACTCCATCAGCAGCACCTAATAAGGGGAGGGGGGGGACCAAGGTGTGTGACCCAGTCCCACCTCAGCAATAACCTGCGCTGCCAGCTCTCCAGCTGAAGCCACCCGTCCTGTGAGGTGCCGATACACAATGGCGAAGCACTCTATAACGCCCGTTTACAAGGCCCCACTCACCAGCAGCTTCTTGTCGTTCAGCTTGTAATACTTCTTCAGAAGAACCTCCACCAATTCCGACCCAGAAAAATATCCGCACTGCCAGTTCCCCAGCTAATCCGATTCGGCTCATCCTGTGAGGTGCCTATGAACAGTGGCGAAGCACTCTATAACGCCTCTTTACTACACCCCACTCACCAGCAGCTTCTTGTCGTTCAGCTTGTAATACTTCTTCAGAAGCACCTCCCCCAGTCCCGCCCCAGCAATGATCTGTGCTGCCAGCTCCAGCGGATCCGCAGCAGCAGCAGCCTCAGCCTCCGCTACAGCCGGCGCCGGCGCTAAAGCCGCCACTGCCGCCCCATCTCCCGCATCCCCATGCCCTTTCCGCCCCTTCCTCCCAGCCGTGCTAATCAAATCGTCGTACCCCCACTGCTTCCTGTCAATCTTCCACACGCTAGGCTGGGGACGCGAGGGCGGGGGGGGGGGAGCCGTCGCCTCGCTCCCTCCAGTAAGCCTCTTGCGGATGTCCAGAACAGACGTGCCCCGGCGAACCTCCTCTTCAAGCTCTCTCTTCGCCTCTATAAACTCCTGCCCCTGCTTCTGCTCGTCATAGTGCGGTTTCCCCGCCCGCTCCCACCGCACGTACGCCTGAATGGCGATCAGATCGTTCGGAATCGGCTCCAACTGCTGCTGCTGCTGCTGCTGCTGCTGCTGCTGCTGCTGAGGGGGTGGGGGTGGTGGTGCCTGCTGCTGAGGCTTGTCGTCTGAGCGTCTGAAGATGCTGCCTCCACCCAGAAGCCTCTCCTCCAGGGCTTGGATCGTTCCTCCTGCTGCCACCTCCTTCTGAAGATCCAAACGCCCCAACTCATACTCCTCCTGGGGTTGTGCGGAGGCGGCGGCGGAGAGGGGGGAGGGTGAGGATGGGGAGAGGGAAGGGTTTCGGATGATTGGAGGGAGGGAAACTGGGTTAGTAGGCACACCCGGCCTAGCCATCTCATCTCGCTCACAATCGCATCTCCTCCTGCGAGTATTGCTGCTCGCAATGCCTCTCCCACTTCGCTCACTCATTGACTCTCCCGCCCTGCCTCTCTCGCTCACCTTCTCCTTCTCCTGCGAGTAGTGCTGCTTGCCGTTCCTCTCCCACCGCAGAAACGCCTGCACGCGAACCAGCTCCTCGGGAATCACAATGGTGGCTGGGTCCACGTGCGCCCGCGACTTGGGGATGTCCACGTGGAAGTTGGTGCCGTGGCACTTGAACCTGGGGGGGAGGGAGGAAAAGGTGGGTGGAAGGGGGGAAAAGGGGGGGGGGAAGGGGGGAAAGGGGGACACCGCAGGGTGGACAGGGGAGGGCGAGATATTGGCTTGTACAGACCGTAAGAATCTCAGCGGTGGTCGCGTACAGAGTGAACGCCACTGCAGAGTACTCCACTGCCGAGTACTCCACTGCCGAGTACTCCGCGTCCATCACGTCTGTTTTGATCAACCCCATATGCCCATAAGGCAACAACAACAAGCACGCTTGACAGCACATGCAAGAGAACCGGCCAGGTATCTCACCAGGCGTTGGTGGCATCGTCCTTGAGCGTGAACTCCACTGCCGAGTACTCCGCGTCCACCACCTCTATCTTGAGCTTCGCCCGGCCCTACCGCTTTGATACAAGGCAGAGCTATCACCGATGACATGACAACAGGCAGATATATCATTTTTGTCGCCAGGCACGGACTTATACCCAGCTGTCTCACCAGGCGTTTGTGGCGTCGTCCTTGAGGGAGAACTCCACTGCAGAGTACTCAGCGTCCACCACCTTTATTTTGATCAACCCCATATGCCCCTCTGGCAACCAAAAAAAAAAAAAGTGTGCTTGATAGCACGTGCAAGGGAACCACCCAGGTGTCTCACCAGGCGTTGGTGGCGTCATCCTTGAGCGTGAACTCCACTGCCGAGTACTCAGCGTCCACCACCTCTATCTTGAGCTTCGCACGGTCTCCCACCTGGTGAGTGGGACGGAGGTGGAGGAGGACGAGGAGGGCCAGGGCAGGGAGAGCAGAGTCATAGGCGTGTGGAAATGACAAGTAGGAATAATTATCTACTTTGGAGACGTTCCAAGAAAGATCCAGTTTATGAATATTGTTGTGTCCATTTGTGACCATGCCTTGACTACAGCGTTATTATAACATGATTGAAGCGCACCTTAGTGAAGGGTGACTGTAGCGCACGGTTCTTGTACGGTCTGGTGCCATCAGGCTGAAGCCCGGGGAGGGTCCATCCGCTGCGAAAGGAAGGTCAGCAAGGGAGAGGAAGGAAGAGAGCTGGATTGAGTTCAGAACGCGATGCCAATGTGACTGTGGCAAGGACGTACGGCCTGGAGGTGTCAGGCTGAATCCCAATCCGTTAAGATTGTGAATTCAATCTTATCTGATCTGGTGCACACGGCGCTGACTCAAGCCGCGTGAGGGCCGCGTTTTAGCGACTTGATCGTCAGAGGCCGATGACCTTCCCATCCGCGTACTGGCTTAAACCCATGTCAATTGGCTTGGCACACTGACCTGGATCCACGTCAATTGCTCCGCGAACCACATCAACTGCGACGCTGACGTCAATTGCTCCGCGCACTGACCTGGATCCACGTCAACCCGTGCACCGACCTGGATCCGAATCAATTGCTCACCCCACTGACCTGGATCCACGTCAACTGTTCAGCGCACTGACCTGGATCCACGTGAATTGCTCCGTGCTGACCTGGATCCACGTCAATTGCTCCGCTCACTGACCTGGTTCCGCGGCGGATGGCGCCCCAGTGCGCGATGAGCTGTGCGTTCACCAGCGGCCCGCCGTGCAGCTCGAGAATCACGTGCGCGCGCGACTGGTCCGTCGATCCCACCGCTAAGACCTGTGGCAACAGCGGGAGACGGAACGAGGTAGAACGTGCGATGAGGAAACCACAGAACGGATAAAAACATGGGGAAAGGAACGAACAAGTTGAACTCAACCCTGGACGTCGTGCAGGTTCAGAATCACGCACGCGCGACTGTCGCTCTCACCGCGGAGGTGAGAGATGGGCGAGACGACAACGGACGGGTCAAACGGAACGGGTGAAACGGAACAGTCGACGTTTTAGGGTCGACAATCGCATGCGCGTTTGATTAATGTGCGGATCCAGCGCAATTTTGGCTACAGTAGAACTGAGACGACGTGCGACTCGAGAATGGTGTGCGCGATGGCCTGACTTGAACGGCGAGGGTTGAAAGAAGGCAGGGGCAATTGCGTGTGTTGCGAAGCCTCTAGACAACTATCCGAAGCGGATGTGGATATTACAGACGAGTTCAGTTTGATTTAAGATATTCAGAAGTAAGATTCAGAATGAGACTCATAGCCTGCATGCTCGCAATGTCAACAGACCTCAAGCTTGGAGCCATCCTCGAGCGAATACGTCTGGCTGAGAGTCTGTACGATCACGAGCACATCGCAGGAAAATACAAAGAAATTCATGAAACAAGGTACATGAAAGAGCAGATGTAAGAATGTCCATGCAACCGCCATCAACGTCCGCTTTGCGATGTGACGATCACAATTGCCATAGAAGGATCAAGTGGTGAGCAAACAGTTGAAGCAGGGAAGACAGAGATGCACAAAGTATATGTCAGGAATTTAGAACGCAGGATTGCACATATCTTCAGCTATTACTTGATTCCACGAATCATATCACGAAGTTACGAGAAATTCTGCCATTTTATAAAGTTCTGGGAGGATTCTGATCTGCCACGTTATCACCAAATGTGCGAAAAAGGCTCACCACTGGCTCGTCCGTCGCGACCGCTGCACGCAGCGAAAGCGGAGCTTGCGAACTCGCCCGGTTATTCGCACTCCCGGGCGAAACCCGAGCACGATTGCCAGAAATCAACGGAGTACCAGCTATCGAGGACGCGAAATTGAGACGACTAGACATAGACCGTCTGAGCGAAGGAGCGATTCCTCGAACCACTCCCCACTTGCTAGAGGAGGAAGTACGATCTTCGTTGCAACCGTCTAAGACCTGCGCAACAAGCGGAGCTTGCGCTCTAGCTGCTGCCATTGCCATCATTGTTCCTCAGGCTCAGAAGCAAGGAGACTGAGTGTCCTGAGCACAGGAAATTTGACAGACCGAAAGTGACTGGGACCTTCAAACCACGCTGCTTTCGATCAACAAATGATGCGAACGGTAATCAGACGACAGCTGAGGACGCCAGGAACCTGGGATGTTAGACGAGCAGAACTAGACTCCCTCGGCTGGCAAGTCTACTGGCAGCAGCTGCCCTCGCAGACCCACTGAAGGCAAGCAAGCAACCTCGAGAGAGAAATGTGAACAAACGCAGATCCCGATGCTCTCAAAGCTTACTTCTGTGGTGCCTCACACTGGTGCAAGTCTGTTCTGAGTGGCTGATTGTCACCTTGATCTCATCTCTTCAGTTGACTGACGAGAGCCTCGGTTCTTGCGACCGACACTGCTGCGGCTACCAGCTCGGATTCTGTTTCGTTGATCCCAGACCGTTGCAGTCAGTTTTGGGAATGGGCCTTGGGAATGCATTTTCCTGCCAAAGCTGGTGGCGTTCAGACCCTCACGAGTATCGGTAAAGGTTACTACATTGTGGTGTTTGCATTCGCCGAAATTACAGATAATTTCGGTAGGCTGGTTGGGTGAATCCTCCCATTCAATCCGTCACAGCAGTGTCCATATCCCACGTGGCAGTTTGTCGTGGAAAGTGACGGCGCGCTTGGGCTGATCTCTTGTGCCCAACTGATCTTTCCGAGGTCACTGTGGCGGTAGATTGACGGTCACAACCGCTGACGCTGCATCTGCCGTAGATGTGCTTGCAAACCATGCTTCGAACGTGCAATCACACCAACACTGAGGAACAAATATTTTCAGTCTAAAAGACGTGGCATTTTCACATTAGTTGAAACCAAGCTGGCTAAGCACTGGTGACTAGATTATTGCATCGATTGGTCAAATGACTGCTATATTTTTGCCAGGTGGCAACGTCTGGTTGCACGATCGCCTGCAACAGAGCTGCAATATCTTACGCGGTTGTGAACTCTGCTTTGATAATATAGTTGACATTACATGCTTAATTGTCACAAAATACACAGCTACAATGCGTTTGGGTTGCGTTGCGAGTGCAATTGAGTGAGCGAGCGAGAATGGCACTATCGAAGCAAGAGTACAAATGAGCAAAGGCATGAGCGAATAATATATAGCGAAACTACATTGGTAACGGTAATGCGTGAAAATGAGGTGCGCGACGAGCCTGGCGCCGAGGTTGGGAAATGCCGAGGCGGAAGTCCGGAGCGCGAGTTATCAACTGGACCGTGCGGTTGGGTCGCGTCGTGAACAGTGGCGGGAATAGTGTCGAGCGAATGTCGCGAGTGGTAACGGTTGGGCGCTGTTGGCGGGAACAGTAATGTACGCGCTTGTCAGAACATATAGCTTACTTGTTTCTGTAGGCTATAGTGGGGTATCCCATAGGGGGTACAACCCAATTAGGGTTTCCTATTTGTACTCTCTTCGTTCATAGTCATTTCACTTCTCGTTCGTACTTTCTCATGGAATCAGAGCAGGTCCCTTCCTAGGGCCTGTTCCTAGGGCCCACCGAAGCGCGCCCCGAGGCGCGCATTTTTTTTTTAGCGACCCTCCGAGTCGCCCCTCCAGTCGTGCCCCCGCTTAGGCCCCTCGTCGGCCCCGCTTAGGCCCCTTGTCGGCCCCGCTTAGGCCCCTCGTCGGCCCCTGCTTAGGCCCCTCGTCGGCCCCGCGTACCCCTCGTCGGCCCCGCGTACCCCTCGTCGGCCCCGCGTAGGCCCCGCGTACCCCTCGTCGGCCCCGCGTACCCCTCGTCGGCCCCGCGTAGGCCCCGCGTACCCCTCGTCGGCCCCACGTAGGCCCCGCGTAGGCCCCGCGTACCCCTCGTCGGCCCCGCGTAGGCCCCGCGTACACCTCGTCGACCCCGCGTACACCTCGTCGACCCCGCGTACACCTCGTCGACCCCGCGTACACCTCGTCGACCCCGCGTAGGCCCCGCGTACACCTCGTCGACCCCGCGTAGGCCCCGCGTACACCTCGTCGACCCCGCGTACACCTCGTTGACCCCGCGTACACCTCGTCGACCCCGCGTACACCTCGTCGACCCCGCGTAGGCCCCGCGTACACCTCGTCGACCCCGCGTACACCTCGTTGACCCCGCGTACACCTCGTCGACCCCGCGTACACCTCGTCGACCCCGCGTAGGCCCCGCGTACACCCCGTCGACCTCGCGTAGGCCCCGCCCAGGCCCCGTCTCGGCCCCGTGTCGGGGCCGCGTAGGCTCCGTTGGCCCCGCTTAGGCCCCTATTCGGCCCCGCGCCGGCCCCACCTACGCCCTGTCGGCCCCGCGCTGGCCCCGCTTAGGCCCGCCACCGGCCCCTGCTACAGCCCGCCGCGTCGGCCCCGCCTACAGCCCCCCAGCCCGCCACCGGCCCTGCTACAGCCGCCACCGGCCCCTGCTACAGCCCGCCACCGGCCCTGCTACAGCCCACCACCGGCCCTGCTACAGCCGCCACCGGCCCCTGCTACAGCCCGCCGCCGGCCCTGCTACAGCCCGCCGCCGGCCCTGCTACAGCCCGCCGCCGGCCCTGCTACAGCCCGCCACCGGCCCTGCTGCAGCCCGCCGTGCTGCACGTGAGCAGCCCCAGCAGCCCGCGCCGCCCGTGAGCCCCTACGCCACCCGAGCCGCGCGAGCCGCGCGAGCCGCCCGAGCCGCCCGAGCCGCCCGAGCCGCCCGAGCCGCCCGAGCCGCCCGAGCCGCCCGAGCCGCCTGAGCCACGCGAGCCACCTGAGGAGCCGTGCTGCTGTCCCTCAGCTGTGTTCCTCTGCTGCTGACCTACCCGACTCCTCCAGCCCGGTGAGACTTTCAGCTGCTGCCATGGCCACCCCCAATGTTCTTACTTTTGACGCTGAGGGGAGGGCCATTGACTTTGCCGTCTGGATTGAAGACCTACAGCTGTACTTACTGTGTGATGCGATAGATGAGGTCTCTCTCTTTGACTTTGTCTCTGGAGCTGTCCCTGCCCCGCCTGCTGATGCTGACTCTGCCGTTCGCTCCAAGTGGGCGACCCGCGATGCTGCTGCACGTCTTGCTGTGCGTCGCCACCTCCCTTCCTCTGAGCGTGCCCACTTTAGTCAGTGCAAGACCGCTCAGGCCTTGTACGACGCTGTAGTTGCACGCTACTCCTCCCCTTCCTCCGCTACCCTTAGCCGCCTCATGCTACCGTTTCTCTTCCCTGACCTCGCTTCCTTTCCCACTGTCGCTGACCTCGTTACCCACCTCCGTGCTAGTGACGCTCGCTACCGCGCTGCCCTTCCTGCTGAGTTCCGCGCCGCAAACCCTCCTCCCATGTATATCACTCTCTACTTTCTCGTCACCCGTCTTCCTGAGTCCCTTCGTGTCGTTAGGGACCAGTTTCTCTCTGTCTGTCCCACCACCCTCACTGTCGACCTCCTTGAGGAGTCCCTACTAGCGGCTGAGAAGAGTATAGTCGCTGTAGGGGCCTCTAGGGGTGACCCTCGCACCCCCATCTTTGAGGGGTGTTCTCCTTCCCCCCTGCTGCCCTCTGTCGCCTGCTGCTACGGCCGACCTCGCTGGTTTTGAGTCGGTCGGTGCGGCGTCTGCCCCCAGCGACAGACGCCGCTCTGGCAAGGGCAAGGGGGGCAAGGGAGCGGGTGGATCTAGAGGAGGCAGTGGCGGAGGAGGTGGGGGTGGCGGGGGGAGTGGGGGTGGCGGTGGAGGTGGTGGCGGGAGTGGAGGTACTAGTGGCGGCGGTGGAGGCGGAGGTGGCGGCGGAGGTGGTAGCGGAGGAGGCGGTGGGAGCGGTGGGAGCGACGGTCCTGGTGGGGGAGGTGGCGGTGGAGACGGGGGTGGCGGTGGAGGCGGGGGTGGTGATCGAGGCGGGGGTCGGAGTGGCTCGTCCCAGCGGAGCAGCTCTGGGGGTGGTCAGCGCCAGCAGCAGCAGCAGCAGCAGCAGCAGCAGCAGCCGCAGCAGCAGCAGCGCTCTCGCACCGTCCCCGGCCCTCAGCAGCTCCGTGAGTGGTACTTGCAGCGTCAGCGCGGTGGTGCTCTTGGTCCCTGCCCCTACGTTCTTCGCACCGGTGACCGTGCGGGGGAGAGGTGTGGAGGCGCCCACACAGCCCGTCGCTGCTTTGGCCGCCTGACCGACGCCTGGCGTCAGCAGTTTCCGGAGGCCGCTGAGATCCCCCGCTGGGGAGAGCTGTCTAGGGCTGGAGTGGCTATTTATGATCTTGACTTTGATGCTATTCTCTCTGCTATGTATGCTGTGACTGGTAGTGATGAGGATGACTGTTACCGGTGTTTCCCGCCCGACCCGGGCATTGGTACTGCCGCGTCAGGTACTAGTGAGGCTGCTGCTCTAGGTGCCAG